TCTGGACATCTCTAGCTATAAACTAAACATAAATAGTGCTTACTGCCAATGAACTGCCAAGTAAGAAAGGTCATTTATACAGATGACATGAGGGTGAAGGAGCAGAAAACAATGGAAAGCATGTTCCTTTTCTTGGGATGTTTAAGCCAGCACAAATCACCGTGTGTCAGCTTGTTTTACAATCTAGTGTTTTCACTTTTAATTAGAAAGTCTTTCCCTTAGCATTTTTCTTAGCAGCAATTTTTAAACTAAACAGAAGTTGTATTCCCCAGTGCCATATGTTAAACCTGACATGTTACTGAAAATGTCTTTTGGAAAAAACAAAGCAAAAGAAAACCAACTAAAAAACCACTAAATGTAGGACCACTGTCCCACTCCACTCTCTTTGGCCTACTTGTAAGCCTCAAGAGCACACAGCTGTCCCATTAGATAGTATCAATTATTTGAGGAATTAGTCATAACTGAAAGGCCAATGGATGATAGACTGATATTTCCTCTTTTGCTTCACTGGCAACCTGTGTAGCTGGAAACAGTCATCCCCCACTTGGTCTTGTAAGTAACAGCTAGACGGAAGCTGTGTCTGTGGGGAGTGAGTAGTTCATAATACTCTGAAAGGTCACCTTGTTGATGTTTTTTGACCAATATATTAGTAGGCTATGAAGTGTAGTCCATTTTAGGACTTAAACAGGAGGGATTAAGACCTATGGGTATCCTTGACTTTAAAGTATGCAAGGAGAATCCAGCTATGACCAGAGAAATGCCTGACTGAGGCTAAAAGGGTCAGTGGAGCACTGACTGATGGTGGCTGATGCAGTCTTCTTTCCCCTGTAATTTTTCCCAATATAAATTGTTGATTTTGGGCTTTGCATAGAAGGACACTTTCTGAGCCTCTTTTTTTAATTTTTTTTTTTTGAGTAGTGTCAGTATGATAAAGTCCATCTGTAAACCTCTGCTATATACAGATGAATGAAGGATGGATCACTTGGAATAAAAACCAGCCATAGTTGGGCAGACTCAGAAAAAATATAATGTGCCAATCTTTGGGTTGGATGAACTGTACCCAGCTGCATGATATACAATGAAGTTACTCATTTACAGTGCTTTTCTTCCAAGACTGTAAAGCACCAGTGTGAATACTGAGAGGTGTTGCAATCCTAATGTAACATAAACTACAGCTTTATGCGGGTCCCTCATCAGCTCTTTGGAAGCCATGCTATCGGATGGTATAGAATTGGAAACTGTGCTATCTGAAGTTTATCCATGTTTCTTCTGATACTTGTCTAGAGAGGGCCATCTCCATAGCAATTCAATTAAGGTGAGACACACTCTTTTATTTTGTATGAGTACCTGAAACCCTAGGCTATAAGCTCATAAAATGAGATTGCATACAAGATGTTGATGGCCTATGGGAAGTTTTGAACAACAGGAAGTTGTTATCAGGATTTTGCTGAAAAAATGATCCATGATCTGATATATTTTCAAATGCTCTTTGCAGAAAGACCAAAGGAGTTGCAAAATTCAGAGGCAAAACCCATGAAATCCAAGTCTATGTTTATAACTGTGGACAAATGGAAAAACAAGACTTTTTCCCAGATGTAGACACAAGTTTTTTGGGGAGCCTTTGTATTTTCTTAAAAAAAAAGTCTACATATAATGGTACACTAAACTACTTTCAGAGAGTAGCATTTGAGAACAAATTACAAGTTAATACCATCTTTGACCTGTATCTGGTCAAGCCATATTTTAGAAACCTGTCATTACTAATATGAAGAAGAGGTTAATCTGGTAATGTGAAGTTTCAGAATGATGGATGAGTCAAGGCTCATGAGCTATTTAACACAATACCTAGCTGCACCTCCTTGTTGTAAGTCTCCAGACTGACAAGCCCAAAGAGGAGGGGTTGCAAACCTCTCAGTAATTTGTTTCTGCAACGATGAAATCTGGAGGTGAATCTAGACAGCCTTAATTCCCACCACTCATGCCTTGTGTCAGTTTTTGGGGTGCTATTACAACTTGTCTTAAAAGGAATCAGTCTCATGGCTCCTTGTTAGCATGCAACTTAAACCTTTTACATACCCTCTCTCATACTGACCCTTCAGTTTATAGACTAATATTGTTGAAGCTAAATTGCATGACTGACTCCCTTGGCAGTGCTTGGAAGAGATTTTAGCCTGGAGAGTTATGTATTTGTTATCTGTACATCAAGACGGCCAGAATGATGCTCCTGTGCTGTCACACAGACACTTGTATCTCTCTCTTTAAAAGTGGCTGATCTGGTTAGCCCAACTGCCTGCTGCTCATCGCTTTTCTGAGAAGGCTTCAAAAAAACCGTAACCCGTGAAACTTGTAACTATCCAACTGTATTTAATTAAAATTATTAAAAGTTAGAAATGTTTATAAATGGGACATAATGTACCACTTTAGTCCAGGTTACTTCTACTCTTGAATTACATCTTTGCCTGAACATCTCCCTGCACTGCTGACAGGAACAAACATAACGGAAAGTGCAGTTCAGAGAGAGACAGAGGAAAACACTGCCTATTTTACTAATGCCTGATACTGACAGCCTGCACACGAAATCTTAAAAGCACTCAGGCACTTCCTTTTGTGCCCACTTTTAAAGGGTTTAATGAAACATATAGAAACATTTTAAACCTGTAGCTTTGGATGTTATTTTGCCATGTCAGTTCCTTTTTTTTTTTTCCAAATCACATAGCAATAGTTTTCTACCTTTCTACATCAACTTTAGTCAACAAATAATGAAGACTGGTTTTGGATAATAAAATGTTTCTGTTCTGTGACTTGTTCTAATAGGTGGGCAGCCAAATATCACCACAGGAAATATGAGGCAATGCTAATTATTGAGGAAAATCTTAGTCCTCCTAGGACATACAAACACAATTAGCAAGTGTATCAACATACCTCTTATTAAACATTGTTAAGATTAAAAACCTTTTTTAGGCTGTGCTGCAAGATAAAAATAAAGGCTCATTTCTTTCCAGAGACAGTAGACCTGAACAGAATCCTTCTACAGGACTATATAAGGAAGGTAGCAAACTCCTTATACTGAAACTGGCAATCCTTAACTGGTTTGAGTGTCAATAAATGATCATTTGCATTCTGCAACAGCATGCAAAGTGATGTAACACTTTTTGAAGATGTCGAAGATTCAGGACAAAGAAAGATTAGGCATTTCCTCTTGAAGTAAAATGGCTAATATATCACATTTAATTAAACTCTTCAGATTTGCTTTGCTTATGAAAGAAGTGCAGGACTTGATTTTTGTGTTCTTTTCACTATGGAAAGTAAGGCCTTTATCCTGTGAATTGTTATGTATGCATTTGACTTGATGTACAGCATATATTCCCATAGATTCCACAGGACTGAATGCCAAAGATAGACACATCTGACTGCTTACAAGATTGGAGCTGAAGAGCTTCAAAAGAGAAAATGAACAGAGATAGTTTTTGAAGTATGCAAGCAAAATAAGGGGAACAGAGATGCTTTCAGACATTGATCTAGATCATTGCTGTATATATTAATTCTGTGTGTTTGCAGATCCTATGTACAAAAGTTTGGGTGCAGGTGGAAAAAGTAGGCTGATGAGGTTTTCCAGACAGGGGTTCACTCCTAGGTGTACTCAAGGCAAGTGTTGCTGTATTATCGCAGGCAGCATTTAACACATCTTTAAATCCCTCCAGCTGAGAGGTGGGGGTTCACCACCGGCAGGAAGGTAAGAGAGGGAGTCCTGGGGCCGCGTAGTAACGGCAGGGGGATTTCTGAAAGTACCTGCCAACGCTTACGGCGCGATTCTTTTTCTGGGCATATTAATCCTATCGATTTAAGTAGGAGTATTTATCTTTTTCTGAGCTCCATCCTCACGTTAGTATGACAGCACTATTGTCGTTCAAACACATAGTCGGCGGCTCTTTATTAAGTCTCTATAAATATGACACAGTAAGGGCATTCAATATTTATGTGGAGAGCACACGCATTGGTGTGTAATCCCGGGCAGTCCTGCGGCTCGGAGGCTTTGCAGCGTCCCCACTCCCGGCGCAGCCCGGCCCTCGCCCTCCGCCCGCCCCGGCCGGGGCTCCCTCCGCCGCCTCAGCGACCTCCCCCGGAGCCGCCGCGTGTGACACACCGGAGAAAAGCCTCCCTCGTCCCCGCGTCGCTCCCGCCTCCCGCCCCCGCCCGCTCCCCCGGGGCGCCGCCGTCACCGCCGGCAGCCGGAGCAGCCGCTGAAGCCGAGGGGCGGCGGGGCTTGCCCGCCTCTCCCCCTTCCCATCCTTTCCCTTCCCTTCCTTCGCCTCTCCCCGGTGCCTATATATAGCCGCCTCTGCGCTAGCCAGCCGGGAGATTGCTCTGTACCTGCAGGAGACAGGAAAAAGAAAATAAGAGGAGCGACTCTCCGGAGCCTGACCCGCTATCAGGAGGAGGAGGAGGACGGGCCCGGCCCGCGCCGCTGTCCGGTGCCACCGGCCCCCGGTGCCGGGCGAGCCCCGCGGGGACGGGCCGACCTGCGCGGCGGCGCCCCGGGGGCGCGCATGGCTCGGGCGCTGCCGGGGCCGGGCGAGGAGCCCGACCCCGGCCCCGGCGGCTCGGGACGCGGGGGAAAGAGAGCTCCCTGCGGACGGCGGCGCTAGCGGGGGGGCCGGGGCGGCAGAGCCCTCCCCCCTGGCGCCGAGGTGCGCTCGGCGGCATGTGCTGAAGTGCCCCGCAGAAGCCTCACAAGTTGCCTGCGCGCCGTGGCCCGGCAGCCGGACGGCGGGAAGCGCCCGCCGCCTCTTGCCTGACCCGACCCGACCTCGTCCCGTTCCGCTCCCCGAGGGCTGCTCCCCCGCGGGGCTCCCGGCGGCCAGGGTGATGCGGCTCGTTGGGAAGTGAGAGACCGTGCGTCCCACGCGGGCCGAGGGGCCCCCTGCCTCGGAGTCTCCCATGCTTTCGGGGCCCCCTCGGGTGGCGGCGGCCCCGCGGGAGGCGGGGGCGGCGCTGCCGTGATGGCCCTGGAGAAGCGGGAGAAGCGCCCGCCCGTCACCCCCATGATGATCGAGGAGGAGGCCGCCTTGCGGAACGGCAGCCGGGGGCTGCCGCCGGGACCCTGGGCCGAGGCGGCGGGGCCAAGACCCCGCACCACGGAGCGGCACATCGCCGTGCACAAGCGCCTGGTCCTGGGCTTCGCCGTCTCCATCCTAGCGCTGCTGGCGGTGACCATGATCGCCGTGCTGCTCAGCGTCCGCTTCGAGGAGTGCGGCGCCGCCGCCGACGGTCCGCCGCGGGCCGGCGGCAACGGGACCCTCTCGGGGGTAGCCCGGCAGCCGCCCGGTGCGGGGCAACCCCTCGGCCGGCCGGAGGAGGAGGCGCGGGGCGGGGAAGCGGCGGAGGAAGAGGAGGAGGAGGAGGAGGAGTGGCAGCGGCGGCGGGAGCTGCCGCCCTGGGCCCGGCCGCGGCTGCCGCGGCACCTGCGGCCACTGCACTACAACCTGATGCTGAGCGCCTTCATGGAGAACTTCACCTTCAGCGGGGAGGTGAACGTGCAGCTGGAGGTGCGTAACGCCAGCCGCTACATCGTGCTGCACGCCCACCGCATGCACATCGAGGCGGTCCGCGTGGCCGAGGACAAGCTGGCCGGCGGTGTGCGGGTGGCCCGCACCTTCTTCTACCCCCAGACCCAGGTGTTCGTCGTGGTCCTCAACCGCAGCCTGGAGGTGCAGAGAAGTTACAACCTTAAGATCATCTACAACGCCCTCATCGAGAACGAGCTGCTGGGCTTCTTCCGCAGCTCCTACGTCCTCCACGGCGAGCGAAGGTAGCGGACGGGCCGCGTCGCCTCAAACCCAACTCGGTCCGAAGTTGGCGGCCCCCGCGCCAACTTCGCGTAGGGCGGCGCTAGGACCCGGCGGCCGCGGCGCCGCCAGGGGGGTGATGCCGCGGGCTCCGCGCTGCCCGGCCCCGGTGCCGATGGGTGCGGGGCTCGGCCGGCTGCCCGGGCAGGGGGCTACGGCGGGGGGAACGGCCGCCAAGGCCGGCTGGCTGGTGAGCGCAGGCCAGGCCTCGCATCCCCCCGCCACCTCTCTCTGGTCATCTCCGTAGGACTCGGCTGTCAGAGCAGAGATGCGGAGGTTCTCGGGGACGGCGAGCCCTTGCCCGTTCCAAGCTACCGACCGGTGTCGTGAGATAGCCGTGAGAGCGGCTGGAAGGCGGCCGAGGCTGAGGGACTGCGCGGGAGCGAGGGGGGCGGGCGGAGCTGCCTCGGGCTGCGGGGCGGCGCGGGCCGGGGCCGGGGGCAGGCCGGGCCGGGGTTAGCGGGGCCGCCGGCAGGTGAGGGAGCGCTCCGCCTGCACGCCCCGCCTGCGCGGGGAGGGCCGCGGGGAGCGGCCGGCGGGTCAGGAGATGCCCCAGAGCAGCTTGGGGACGGACGGTGGCAAGGAGCAAACTTGAAAGGGTGCCACCAGTGAAGCAGACCGTCCGCTAGGTCCTTGTCAGGGCAGAGGCTCCGGGTCTGTTTCACACAAAGACTGTGTTCGGCAGCCGTGTGCCCTCGTATGACAGAGCCTCGTCAGGTTACAAACAGCGGCGAGACTTCTGTTTTGCTTTTTTTTCTGTTTGGCAAAGCAAAAACCATGGTGGGATGCGTTTTCACATGAGGTGAATATGTTTACAGTACAGCTGGGTCGCGGCAGATTTACAAACTGTGACCCGACAAACCTCATTCATTTGCGGGCAGAGCAAGATTCAGTCTTGTTCTGTATTTACTCATGTAGTTAAAGCCCCTTGGGTCCCTGTCTAGGCCCTTGTTGCGGTAGGCAGGGTTAGTGTGCAGGGCCCAGTTTAGCCAGTTACAGAGGCTTTCTTTTTAAAGAAGGTGTTTTCTAACCCCATTGAGATTTTGTAATGGAAAAGAAAGGCAAGGGTGGACTTCTTGGTAGTTCTGGCATGGTTTATAATTTTAGAATTGGATTCTTTTTAAGCTGTCCTTTCTTGAAGTATCTGTGCAGTGACAGGTTTTCTTTTCCTGAATCTTACTGTTTTAGATTGTGGAAACAATTTAAGTGAAACAAAGATTTTATAGTTGGAAGAACTGGACAAAAATATTAAGACATGAAAAGCATCCTCACCACTCAATTAAGTCAAAAGCCCTTTTATTAAAACATATTTTCGTTGCTGTGATTACTGACAATTTTCAAAAACCTGATATTAGAACCGCAAGCAGGATCGAAATTAAGTTTTTGCAATTTGTCATCAGAGTGAAATCAAAAGGAAATTTGAAAAAGCACAGTTGTAAGAAAAGACGTGGATAAAATGCCTTTTGTCACGGTTGACTGAATGGTTGGGGTAATAGGGAGTTTTTACAGACCTGTATTGAAATGGGCAAATCAGAAAACAAAATACTGTTAACAGCAGGGGGTATGATTCACTTTACAAATCTGAGACGTTATTTAAGCAGTTATTATTCTCATGTACTGTGACTTTGTGTAGGAATAATTGAACTGTCAAATAGGTGTGGCAGTGACATTTCTGCTGAGCTACTGTACTACACTTCGATACTGATGCCTGAGTTGAGATTTAGAAACCATCACCAACAAAAAAAGGTCTATTCTCTGTTTCAGTCATCAGGACAGTTTAAGACACAGGGTGGAAGGCGATGGTAAAATGTTTTTCGCAGTACTCTGTGTGTAACTTTTCAGATATAAATTACTTTGTTTTTAATATGCTTAAGTATAGTTGTGGGCAAAATACTTACCTTATGTAAGGTAGCATTGCTATATTGAAATCAGTGTCTTGTTTTTCCTTTACGCCAGATCACTTACATTTCTTTCAGTGAAACATTTTTATAACTGTAGTCATTGTATGGTTGTAGTTTCAGGTGTTAAATAGGAAAAATTTTTTTCCTTTTCAACTGTCACAGGCTTAATGACTCACTATAGTTTACAGTGAATTATACCCATTCTAAACCAGGGAACTTTTTTCATCAGAGAGTGCTTTTACAGTAACAATTTGCATTCTGATTAATAACCCATTTTTTAATATGATACATATAACCGTTCTTGGACCTCAAACACGGACAGCTTCTGTTATGATAGAGAGACACACTTGCATGTTCTGGGAGACCTTGCTGTTCCAGCAGGGCTTTGATTTTTTGACATCTTTATATTCAGTTAAAGTACATCAGCCTCATTGGAGTAGTACTTGCTGTAAAAGGGTCCAAACCATCATTTTTCACTTTTGTTGTACATGAGGAGCAAATAACTCTGGTGTGAGGCATAACAAACGTACTAATATCTTCACTTTATGATTTTTTCCCCTAAAGTTAGTTTCTCTGGCGTTCACAGGTGAACGCTGTAAATCAGCCTGAAATGTAAAAGCTATGGTATTTATTTTCTGACTGAAATCTTTCCTACTGTACTTGAAATGTCAAATGCAAGTGATATGCTACAGATTTGCTTTGCATTATGTGCTAGAATTTACTGACAGTAATCAGTGGAAATACAATACAGAGCTACTGTAGGAGTATGCAGGCATAATATAAGTGAACATCAAAGTTTGGTATAAGTGAAAAAGAAAAAAATTCTTATATCACGCAGACAAAACAAAGACATATTCTTTAATCTTGTAACAACTAAGATGTCAAAATAGATAGGTTATTGAGGAAACCCATCTTCCTTTAATACGTAAGATGTAATTAAAACACCTGCAAGCTACTGCCATGGATATTCTGAGAAGACAGACTGTGAGCCTGTCATTCCCTCAAGTACAACCTTTTGTGGTAATATTTTTGGGAGCAGGAGGTAAAAGCGTTGGTACCCAGAGAGGTGTGTAAAGGGAAGGATGAAATCGTCAAACTGCCCTTCACTTTTGGCATGCTGTAGAAGTCTGCTTGTTTTACTTGAACACAGAGCGAAATAGATAAACAATGTTTTGGGTTTAGCTTGTTTGTTTTCTTTAAATGGCTAGGGGTTTTTTAAAGCAGTTTTAAGATTTTGTTTGTTTTGCTTTATGGCACAACCAGCAAATTGATGTTTGATTGTAATGCACATGTTAAAGATACTACTATTATTGGTAGTTAGTGTATTTTTAGTATGTAGTAGAAGTATTGACTGCCCTGTGTTTGCCCAGTTATGTCTTTGTGGATATATCTATCTGTAAAAACACAGAAGATGAAGAGTTTACCAGGGTCTATCAGCCTGGTGAAGAGATTGTTTCAGTGGCCTAATATGTATTAAAAGATGACTGATAAATCTCTGAGAAGTGTCATGAAGATGTGGAGAGGGGACGAGGGAAAGCTTCCTTATTTAGAGGGTATCACAGTATGGCCAGTATTTCCTAAGTACACGTTTACGTGTGTGTCGGAGCTCATTAAAATCGTTCATTGCAGAGGAAAGTTCATCATTCTTGCTTTGTTAATAACTGGCCAGTACAGTTTTCCATGCTCACTTGAAGCTTCTGTTGATGTCTGTATCTGTTTAGAGTGTGCCTAGAATACAGAATCAGGTCCACTTGAAATACTTTGCATATAAATTAAGTTGCTTTGCTTCATTTAATTGTCTGATTTGGCTTTGTTGCAGTAGTGCATGTCCACTGATATTGGAGTTTTTTGGATTAACGGGGATATCTGGTACCAACTTTTTACCTTAGATTTAGCAATCTTACCCAAAATGCTGGTTTTAGTAGTCTGTGTTTTGTAATGAAGCAAGAAAAATGTGAATTCCTTCAATAATTATTAGCCAAAAAAGCCTTTTTATTTTAGAAAGAAGGCCAGTGGTAACTGCTTCAGTAGTGGAAAATTTTTTCAAGTTTAAAAAAAGTTACCCGTATTGAAAATGTATATCTAGTTCTATCGGGCAATATAGCAAGAAAAAGGTGTAATGTTTCAATGTAATGATTTCCTCATTGCCTCCAAAATATGTGTAAAACCCAAAAAGTTTTAAAAAAGTTAATTACGTACTTTTATTTCCCTATGGGGAGCCTATGTTTTTGCTCTGTTAATGTTAGAGTATCATATTGCAGGTTAATGATTATATACTGATTAATAATAGGTGCCACCATTTTCATTATGTCAAAGCTATCCACCCATCCTTTTCCCTCAGAGGAATAACAGATGATTAGTCAGCCTCTAAAATGTTGATAAATGTTTGCCTGGTATCTAAAATTGCACAGTTATTTCCACAGATGAAACCTTGGAAGGTGAGACAGGAATCAAAAAGCCTACATACATGCTACCTTCACATTTACATGGCTAGCCCATGGTAATTTTCTCGTTCTACATGCTGCCAGAAAATACTCTTACCAAACTCCATAATTCAGCCTTTTAAGTTTAGCTTCTTGTTTCTGCAAAAAGATCATGAGCTTTTTCCAAATGTATAAATACATGTTTCCATCCAGAAAGCTTTCTGTTCTGTATCTCGGTCAAAATTTATTTAGTTCCAAAGAAAATAGTTGCAGCTTGACAAGTTTTATTGTCAAGCTAAAGCCTTCCCATTCTTCCCATAGGTGCTTAGTAAATATCTTTACCTCCTTCAGTGATCTTTCCAAAATTTGACCCATTAACTGAGAACATGGATTTGCTTTCTATAAAAGACGCCAGAAAACAAAAGCACATGTAGAATAGAAGAATAGTGAAATACTTTGTGCTGGTTTAATAATTTGCTTGCATTTGTGATTCGGCAAAACTCACAGAATGGTTTTTTTGGAGGTGCACAGACAAAGCAGTGCTATGTAGTATTGTGTCCCAGACCTACACGCAGCTGGTAGAGAAGTAATCAGCTGTGGAAAACAATGACCCTCCTGAGTGCACTGTGTGACCGTAAGTTCTCATGCCCAAAGAAAGGTAAAGTGCCCTGTCAGTGTCTCAGGGCAGAGTGAATTCCCTGAAGGCTTTTAAATCCTGGTTTGAACTGAGCTTGCTTGTTTTACATTGTGTAACCAACAGTGGCTCGCTTTTTCCCCCACACAATGATGAACAATACTGCGAGAACCTGAAGTTTGATGCAAGGCAAGGGTTGATTTCTTTAGTGTTAGTGTGGTGTCTACAAATTTGTAGGAAATTTGTAGACCATTAATTTGTATCTATTGCATTGCAGTAGAGGTAGTAAGAAAATGATCAAGCAGTGTTCAAGCACTATATATTTTGTGTATTATAGTTGTAATTATTTCCTCCTTTAAACCACAATGGTCAAGCAGTGTCTGATTTGGTATGTCTGTGAATCAAGTGCTAGGCACACTTAGTAATCAATTTTTGTTTTTGTTTTCTGCTTTTCTAGGTTTCTTGGTGTTACGCAGTTTTCTCCTACTCATGCCAGAAAAGCCTTTCCTTGCTTTGACGAGCCCATCTACAAGGCCACATTCAAAATCAGCATCAGACATCAAGCGACTTACTTATCTTTGTCCAACATGCCAGTTGAAACTTCTGTTTTTGAAGAAGATGGATGGGTTACAGATCACTTTTCGCAGACCCCTCTCATGTCCACCTATTACCTGGCTTGGGCAGTGTGCAATTTTACATACCGGGAAACTGTCACCAAGAGTGGAGTAGTTGTAAGTATTTCTAATGTACCAAAAACATTTCAATACTTTGAAAACCCTCACTTTTTGTAAAGGGGTTGTACCAGCAACTACTTAAAATATTTTCTTGATTAATACTTTAAAAATTTGTTGGTCTATTTAATGGTTGTGTATATTGTTTGGGACCTTTCCTGATGGTTTGTCTAATATTTTTAGTTTGTCTTGTGCCTTTTGTAAATGGTTAGCTTAGTAGGTGTGGTTATCTGATGAAATTTTAAACTTTTAAATATGCGGTTAAACTACACTTTGTTTTTCTTGTGAAGTTTTTTCTTGTTTTTCCTGTAGCCTTTTCATTACCAATTTTCGTGAGATAATTAAAGTGGTAATACTCCAATCTCCTTCCTCTGTACTGACGTTCCTTGGTGTGCTGTATGCTGGCTTAGGAGGCTGGTGTAGTAATTTCTCTCTTAGAGACAGCAGTTTGAGCTGTGAGCCTGAGCAAAGGAGTGTTCACCTTATACTTCAGCAAATGCTGTATGATTTTGTGCTGTAGCTTGGGGGCTTGAGGAAGGGCTGTGGAGTGTTCATATCAGGAAATATCTCCTTAAGCACTTTGAGCCAGCCTGAGCATTGTGCTGCAATGGAAGGAGCTGATCCACCTTCTCTGAGCCAAAGGTGTTCTTTGCCTTCCTTGTACCAGCCGTCAGCTCTGTACAGCCATATGATCTGGCTGAAAACTGACCTGAAAAATAACTGAAAATGTGGTAAGTTTTCAGCCAAAACAGTTCATTGATCTGGCTTTTTGTGCTGCTGCCAGAGTCCTTGCATGGATTCGAGGCTGTGCTGATGGAAGGTAGACCCAGGAACCACTGGCGTATCTCATTAAGGTTGTCCTGAAGGGATCGACAAATAAGTCTTGGTTTTGTTATTGGAACAGTTGAGTGGGACACTGGGGGCTTTTCTTCAGCCCTTTTCTGCCATGACCAGCAGACTGTAGACTGTGACAGTACTCTCTGGCACCACACAAGGAAGGAAGTATGACTAGGAAGTGGTTCTCCTGAGGTGCTTTTACCTGTAATAATATGGAAACTGCTGAGACTTATGTAATAGTCATAGAACAGTTTGGAAGGGACCAAAGGACCATAAAGACCATCTAGTTCTGAACCCCCCTGCCACAGGCAAGCACACCTTCCACTAGACGAGGTTGCTCAAAAACCACATCCAACCTGGCCTTGAGCACTTCCAGGGATGGATCATCCACAGCTTTTCTGGGCAACCTGTTCCAGTATCTCACTGCCCTCAGAGCAAAGAATTTCTTCATAACACCTGATCTAAACCTGCCTCCTTTTGTTTTGAAACTGTTACTCCTTGTCCTGTCACTGCTGTTGGCATAACCAATTATTTGAAAGGTTGGGGATGGAACTCAGGACCATCAATTTGAAACACACAACATACTTCCTCCTTAACTCATTTTATTGTAGTATTGTTTAGAGCTCATATCCTGTAGACTTTTGCTGCTTGAATATATTTGATGCCTTGAAAACAGAGGCACACTTATGTCTTGTAGACAACAATTGATAGCTTTCTGCTGTTCTTGTGTTTTTTTTTCCAAACTGTTCTCAAGGCTTTCGATTTACCTGGAATCTAAACAGAAAATCCAAGTATTCTTTTGTTAGGAATTTTTGCTTACTGGAGCCTTATAGTTATGCTTGAGTCTATTGGTTCAGCACATGTAGGAGATATATATGTATATCCCACCAGCTTGACAGTACCACTGGACAGAACTTTGCCAACAATTATGAAAATTAGTAGGTTAATCTTTGTGAAAACTTGGAGACCAAAATCCTGTTGCAGTTCGATTTGGGGTGGGGGCACCCCGTGGATGTCACTGCAGGGCCCCCTAGGCTGTGAGTTGGCTGGCAGCAGCAGCCAGGCAAGGAGACTCCACATGGCTTCTGAGGGTGCTGAGCAGATGAAGGTTTATTTGGGGTCCCATCCCTGGGAACAGCATAGTTACTGAGGGAAATGGGGAGAAGGGGGAGGGGGAAGGATGAGGAGCCTAGGGAAGGGAAGGGTCAAGAGAGGGAAAAGGCTAAGAGAGCGGAAGGCTAAGAGAGCAACTGATTTTGCTAGCACAGCTTAAGAGGGGAATTGAAGTGGGCGCAGAATCAGACTTGGGCCAATGGGATGACAGATACATGGTGGTTCAGGGCAGGACCACAGGCTTAGAATACACCATACATTTCAGAGGGGTGAGACAGGGCATACCATTTAAACAAAATGCAATACGACAAAATCCTACATAAATTTAGATAGTCTGTTATCTTAGAAAATTGTTTGGTTAGTCTAGAGCTAGCTCTTGTTTTTTTTATAAAGCCATTATCACAGAGGTATATTAATACCAAGGAATACTGAAATAGTTTGCACTGGGTTATTGGTTAAATACATCTTGCTATTTTTCAGTTCCATTTGGGATCTGATCATCTTTTATCATGGTTCAGTTTTGTTGAAAGAGTGTGTTTTAAGGTATGAACTCACAGCAAGTACTTCAGAGCTGCATTCTTTCAGATGAATTGCTGAGGTAATCCATCTTTTTGAGTCTCTTGTATTGCAATGCCAGGAGTTCATGGACGCTACTGAGTGCATTTGAAATAATTGGAATCCTTGCACATGGAATTTCAAATTTCTTAGTTTCCTTCAAAGCCATTTTTTACTAATACAGTTACCCCCATATCCATGGCAGTTAAGTTAAATGTATAATAAAAGTAAGTTTGCTTCTAAAAATGAATGGGTTTTCATGAAAATTACCCAAACCTTTGTCTGAAGCATCTTGATAGGCTGTTTCTTATATTGGTGAATCTTCATTTTAATGTGTATTATATTTGTTAGTAGACACTTAAAATACTCCAGCTTGCATATACTTTTGCTTTTGTTTTGGCAGTTCTATGAACCTCGTTTTGGTTCACAAAACATTTTGGGGGGAGTGGGCTGTCCTTTCAAATTTTGACAGTATACTAATGATTATAATCTCACTTCTCTTCCAGCTGACCAGTATTAATAAAGTACTATGGTCAAAGGTAGATAAACTGTGAGGAATAGAGCTAGCTATGAGATGAAAAGCAGATTTTTTTCCTCAAAATTGCTTAAATGTTAACTTTTCATTTTTTCTCGAAGAATGTGACTGACCTCAAAATTACATTCAATACAAGTCAAGGTTTTAATAGAAACTGCCTTTTGGAAAGCTTAGGTAGCCAATCAAAATACTTACGTGGCTATAGCACATGTAATTCTTGCATGAGGATGTATTATTTCATACACTAAAATTAATTGGAAAAAGGGAATTAGGACAAGCAGTTATTTTTTAGGAGCATCCTATAGTGGATGTGAATCATTATCACATGCATAACTCTTTAGTCCATGTGGGTCTGTTCCAAATCCCTTCCAGATTAGGTAATTTAAAAGCAGACTTGACTTTTTATATGTATTACAGGTATATAATATGTTGTTCAGATTCAGCTGGGATTACAGAAGATCAGTGCAACTGCCTTTGTCTTTAGGCAGGGACTTTATTCCTGTGTAAAGGACAGCGGTGCAGTCATCTGTGCTGCTATGGACTAGGGAGCAGTGTAATTCTACCAGGGTGATGCCTGAGGAGTTGTTTTGACGGAGGAGGGGTGCCCTTGCAAGCAAGCTTAGCTGATCAGTGTATGGCTCTAGCAGTTGGACCAGCTGCAGCTGAGGAAAATCGTGGGATCTGTATCTGTCATCTTTGCACAGTACAGTAATCCAGAAAACTCCACTTACCTCCACATGCTTGCTGTCTTATTTTGCATCACCTAATCATGCATCATACGTTCTTTGTTAAAGAATTTATTCTTAAAATAAAAGCAAAATATTGCTGGTTGGATTGTATTGTCTGTTACATCATCTCTGTCTCTTTCCTTCACTGGTGTCTTTATTTGTGCTTTCAATCCACCAAGCCTTTTCCAGCTATTGTTGCTTTATTTTTTCCCCTGCTTGGGTTAGTGCTTCTGTTCTCTAAAACCCTCTGTTTCTCATTCCTTTGTCAGGTGAACATGGAAAACTCGCTATTTCCTGCATGGCTTTTCAGTGTCTGATAAGTTAATTCATTTCTTCCCCTGTAAATTCTTTCTCTTTTTGAATTAGTGGAAGGAGGGACCACATAATTTATCAGTGGAGATGAATGTATGGCTGGAAAAGATGTTTCCAAGAGATTCAACTTCTCCTATTCTTCCTATTTGCTGTGGTTGGGATGTGGAGATAGGTATGGAAATAAAATGCCAACTGGCAACACTAAAGTGTTTCTCTTGTCAGGGGGAGTATCTCCTAAAAACAGAAAGAAATGAAGTCAGGAGGAATTGTGGGTGCAGGGGTTAAAGAGACAAGTGCAGGCAGTACCAGAGCAGATGGGAATGAGCAGCTGTGAAAGAAAGTGGCTATCTAGCTGGGTGGTGGTGAGTGGGAGGAGAAATGATGAAAGAAGGCAGTACCCAAAGAAGAATTTTGCGTGGTTTCACTTTTCCTACCCCTGCCTCTATTCCAAAATGGTGGCAGCACATTTTGCAGGACTGGCAGTGTGTGCCTGACCACAGCTGGGTCAGCTGCTCAGGGTAGGACCTCCACTGTCTGACTGAACCCATGCACGTTCCCTTTTGAAGAGACCTTTATGGCCAGGTGTGTCATGGTTTCAGCTGTATTAAATGTTATTGTAGTGCCATGAATGCTGGCAGTGCCATGATACAAAGACCTTAAGGCTAAAAAAGATCTTATGATAAGAATTATACCAGAATAAAGTCAACCTTTATTGCACTACTTTTGTTTTGATATTGCTTTGTCTAAGATGTAATTAATGTTCACAAGCTATACAGTACATTCAAGTCTTACCCTGGCCAATGAGAAGGAACTCTAATAATCTGGCTAAAGGAAATTAAGATAATTAGTGTTTCTGTAGTGCTTTCTGGCTTGCAGAGAGCCTGTATAAAGGTCCTGGCATTGAATTCTCTCAGGCATGT